ACGCATGCGTGATTTTCCACCGCCACCAATTTCGCGTCGTGAACCTATGCCATTGCCCCCACCGCTAAGCGGCAGTTTGCGCTCCTGTAGTGTATCTCGTGGATACGATTCCATGTTCAGTAGGCGGTCTCCTCCGCCGCCACGCAGCAGTAACGGAATGAGTCGCTACGGGTGAGAATATATTTATAAATATGATAATGCGTAGATGTTAATTATTATATTTTGTTGAGCAGCTCACCGACACCGCATGGATATGAGGACTTTAGTCGCGATTCTTTTGACGAGCGCATGATATCGTCGCGTGGCATGCGCGGTCCTTCGCCGCCAGGTCGCCGGTATGCGCCCTACTGAGATGAGTTTTACTATAACGGCAGCAGCTGAGTGACAGCAGCAGCAGATTTGAGAGGTGCACTTGCAACAAGTACACCACCACTAGTACCCGTTTACAACTATAATGCTTTTAGCGGCGCATCATGTTGGCTCCTATGCTGGTCGCCGACAATTCATCATTATCACCAACTGCAGCAGTTGCCGTTCTTACATATGTGGATACCACCTTGGTAGTCCCTTACACGTAGCAGCAATAACACAACAGAAGAAATATTCATAGTCCCTTTAGCATCCCTATCATACTAATCATAATTAAGTAGCATTGTCTGACTGATAATGACGACGTCAATGTTCTGCTGCTGGCAACCAAGATTGCAGGCATCACAGAAGTTGCATCATTATTTCATCAAAGGAGTTCATTCTTAACCGTAAATAACTACGAACTATTGGATTTGTGTGATTAGCATATATATATATACAAATAAAAAGTTAAGCACCAATGCATGTTTGTGCGATTGTGGAAAAAATGAAAAACCCTGTACGTATGATTTTTACCATGTAAATGACCTAGTATTAAAAAGCATCATAAGTTACTATCAAAATATATTTTATGTCTATAAATTCATAGTGAATGTGTATACTAAAGGCAGTCATTGGGATAATATATTAAAGTCCACGATGCTGCTATGCCTGCGATGAGGGCACTATGCGTAACGCCTTTGATTCCACCAACAGCTCATCTGACTCGTCGTTAGGCGTAGCATCGTTTTGTTTGTCTTTCGGATGTATCACCTGCATAGCTATCGGTGGTTTCTCAAATACTGGTGGAATAAGTACACGACTGCAAGTAGGACGGAGGTTTAGAATGTTAGGGATTAATACTTAGTGATATACTTACTTGCTGAACAGCAGCCATATCATAGAAACGAGCATCATAATAGATGTAAAACCGAACGTCCAGTAAGTACCCAAACGTGTGTAAATGGAGCCAACGAAAACAGGGCCCATCACACGAGATAGACAGCCTGCAGCTGTCATAATACCCATCCACACGCCTTGCGGTCGCGGACCAAGTACCTTGGAGAATATTGTTTGTATAAGAGTAACGCCAATTGGATAGCCAACGGACGTTAATGCAAATCCAATGATGAACTGCGTCAATGTCAACGCTGGCAGTTCTGGGCACCAATCCTGTGTGACCGGACAGCCCAAATACAAAGGATCATCGAGGGAGAGATTTGAACTGGCATTGTAAGCAATAGCCAGCTTTGGCGGATCCGGTCCCCACGGTATGTAAAGTAGCCGACCCACCACCATCAACGAAAATCCGCCCCAGATGAGAACATAGCGCTCGGCAAATATTTTGCAAAGTGGTTCAATAAGTACAAAAGTAACCAGAGATATGATTGCTGCAATGGTCATAAAGATGCCCATGTTGTAGAGTGCCTCATTATTCGTCCAGGCGAACATATCCATGGTCAGCGACGTTCCCAAGCTGTGAATACATGAAAAATAGAGTACAATTTAAGAACAAGTGGCTGTCGAACTTACGTTTCTAGCAACACAAAGTTAAAGACCAAGACGAAGAATGCCACAATGAGTGTCCAGGCGGAATAGTAATTTGGTTTAATTGCCTTCCAGGTTTCGCGCTCAGATGTGCCGCCCTGCATCACCATGATCTCACGTGCGGCTATTCTGTGCTCCTCAAAGAAGCCCGGCAGAAACATTACGAAGTTGCCCAAGCTCATGATCACATTTATCCAACCGGAAGCGGTGTACATGTTCACATGCATGGCACCCCAAAACCAGACCTGACCTTTCCGACCTAGCGGTGTCACTAGTGCCTGAAGCCCAGGACCGATGATAAAGCCCAGTACCTGGGCCAGGGACACCATGGAGACGGCATGGGTGCGCTCGTTAAGACGTGTAGCCGCTGACAAATAGGAACGGCAGAGCGCAATGTTGGCCGAGCTGACTCCGATGAGGAATCGGGAGGCAAGCATCCAGTACTTAACATTGTTTACGAGCTCCAATGACGAATACAGCGCACTGGCCACAGAGAAGAGCGCCAACGAAATGAGGAGAGGAAGTCGTATAGTGCCCAGTTTGTTGCCCCACCGACCGAAGATGGGACTGAAGATCATCTGGCCCAACGGATTAGCGGCCACAATCAAACCCATAAACTCCTTGCCGGCAGTGGGGTCTAGCTACAGAGATGATTGCGTTTTAGTCTTTGTACATAAGTATATATAGAGGAAATAAGTACCTCGCTCAGGAATGGCCAAATGCCGGTGAGTATAATGCTGAAGCCGAGAGCCATCAAGAACATGGTAAAGTAAATGACGCGCACGGAACGCCAGCGCTGAGTGTACTCCTCCAATGTCTCCAGATCATCGTCAAGCTCTGTGGTCCGATTACGTGCTGCCACGCGTTCCCGAAACTTTCGCCAGTACTCCATGATGTACCTGTGGACGCCGTTGTAGTAGTTGTGTCCCTTCAATGTTACCGTCGCTGGCTCATGCTTTGGTTCGTAAAGAGATTTGTTCATTTTGATTGGTTCAGTTAAGATATGAGTGATATGTATGTATGTATGTATGTATATGTGTATGAGTTTATAAATATCGTATTCTCCTACAAAAGCAATTTATATTCGGCTTGCTACGCCTTGAGCTTATCTACTTAAGCAGGTGGCCGAACTATACAAGGCGGTATTAAAATAATTAATTTAGTATACCCTAGAAATACATACATATATGTTTCTATGTATATATGTATGAGTGTGGATGGCGGGACAGCCAAGGGTAGGTCAACTCTGCTCGTTGTTCGCTTTAAAAATATGTATATTTACTTGCTAGAGTCTGGCACGCCTCCGTTTGTCTGTTACATACAGCCATTATACCCTAAACTCTCATTTTTATCGAGTTCAGGCTATAAAAACATTTTAGCGTATTCAGAAAAAATGAGAAAAAATCTTCACTGGCAATCGACAAGGGTATATAACGAGCTTCCATAAGCTTAGTTAAGTATGAACAGATATTGAAAATATTGCTAAAATATATACATACATAGCTGCTCATCCTTATCACTAATTAGCTGAGTACAAAGCTGGACACACACAACTAAACTATTTTCCCGTAGATTACATGCCACTCGTCGTTTAGCTTTATCACAGCCAACTTACAGACTCGCAGATAAACAAATGCCGATTTCTCAGCTGTTTTCATATTTTTTTGTGGTTGTGTGAGTGTGTTTTTTATATCAACCAACAAATTCATGCACTTATCGTAGCCAACTAGTTAATACAACCGGCTTTATACATACATGTATGTATGTGCGTTTGCGTATATGTATATGTGCATATGCATGTATGTGTTAACGATGTTTGTTATTTGGTTTAATCACTCATCGCTGTTTTAGTTATCATTTATCGCATTAGCTGTTGTGATATTTTATCATTTAGTCGTCCCCAGTTAAGCAAAAAACCCATATAAAGCTCCCATATTTACACAATGTTGTTGAGAATTCGGCTCCGGTGTCGAAGATCAGATTGTACGAATAATTTGCAAGTGAACCCATTCAACAGGTGCTTTCAAAAGGGTTTCATTTATGTGCCATATGTACATAAATACTATTAATATGAATATGGGTGTACACATGTATACATACATATGTATATTTATATTATTAATTAGACTGCCAGAGATATGAATCACATTCATTGATTCCACATTTTAATTGACCAACAAATTTCAATCAGCTTTCTTGGGGGTAACAACTATGCTCTCTCCAGCAGTACAGTACAGCCCAGCTAATTCCTATTCTTGGTTCAATGAGCTCTATCACACATATGTATCTGGAGGCGCATATTTACATTTTTGTCTTTAAATATATATAGCTCTGATAATATCTCTTGCTTGTTTCAATTCCTATGTATAGATAATACATAACGCACGACTTTACTTCTTTGTTTTTATTTTTGTTGCTGCATACGTTCACATACTCACGCACACATACACACACACACACAGTTGAATTAACACACAGATACTTATTGTCATCTGCTGGTGTGAGCACCAGCAAACACAAGTGGGGACCAAGGGAGCAGTCACTTAGCCTTCTATGTTTTATTTTATTTCATTTTATTTTGTGTACTTTGTTGCACTTTGTAACATTACAAATACATTGATAATGAACTGTTTGCACTTCGCTCGTCTATACGTTCGCGTTTAACCCGTCGCACTGCGTTCATATAGTTCTTCTTTGTTTTTTCTTATTCTTTTTCTTTTACCAATTTGTTAGCTACCTGTTGAAACGCTGCTAATATGTTGTTAAAATCTCCTCAGTGCAGAGCAACAGCTGAAGACGCACTGGTCGCTCCAACTGATTTACTCAACTGAAAACCGTTGGCGTCTGTTGCCAACGTTTGACCGACTCGTCGCTCTCTTTATTGCTCTTCCGCGACAATTCATTTTCATTAATAGCGATCCTAAAAAGTATGAGACACTACTCTGACTTCTTAGTTTAAAGGAAATGCCTAAAAGTATACAATGTAATAAAGCATATGATTGCGTTGCTATATGTATTTTCTAAATGCTCAAACCATTTGGGTGCCTTTAGTTATATTATTGTTAAGAAATATTTATTTGCGAATAAAATTTACAGGCCAAAACAACAAACATACATACACAGCCATTCTCAAATTCCTTAAAATATAAAACATAGATAAATTGAATTATCCAAAATTTACATCTATTGCTCTCCACGGAAGCGCCTCAAACGTCGCTGACGCAGCCAGGGCAGGAGAAGACCACGGGGTGCCAGTGGGGCTAATGGAGCCAGGGGTGCTGAAGGTACAACGGGTGCCCTAGTAGTGGGTGTGGGCTTTGGCTCGACATCTTTGTCACGAATATTTTGCCTAAACCTTCTAAAGCCCTTCGCTGGTCCCTTGCGTGGAATTTTCTTTGGTAGCACATCGTTCATAATGTTAAGACTGAAAACATCACCACTGTCATCATCGGCGGCTAAGTGACTAACCGTGTCCTGTAACACGCGAGGAATACGCTCTACTACCTGTAGAGCATCACGAAATGGACGTATATCTGGCTTGGGCTTTGGCGCTTCTGTTGCGGGTACTTCTTCAATGGAGTCGGGTCTGGTATTGCGTGAAAAACTTTTCTTTGACTTTCTAGTTTTTTGACTGTCCTTCTCGCTGAGCTGATGCCGTTTAAAAAGGGGTGCGGGACGATTGAGTAGTGGTGCTGTCTGCTCCAGGAACCATGGTTCCCGATGCCCCATTGACATTGGCTCTGCCGCAGCTTGACGTTTAAACGCGGATTGTTTTGTCTCGCGCTGCTTCTGGGCGCGCGTGCCCAATGGAGAAGGTCGCACTAGAGAACTGGCAAAATCGTTAAACCACTCCAAATGTTCCACGGAACGTTTGTGACGTGCCAAATTCGATTTGTCTCCTTTTGTGGATGGTGATTCCAGTGCGTTTAATGACATAGCCGGCCTTTTGTCTCCCGACCTTGATGGCTTGTAGATGGTAATTGTGGAACGACGACTACGGGCAGCTTTGATCTCCCCAGCAGGACTGGCCAACAGTTCACGCTTTTGCTCGAACTCCTTAGCATTTCGCACAAATCGATTGCTGCTAGGTCCCTGAATGAGGATCTCAAATGGTGTGTTCAGCGTGCGCGCGTTCACCTGCATAGTGTGGATGCATTCCGTGTCGGAGTTCTCGTTGTTGCACTCGCAAATGCACTCCTCGCCGCAATAAAAACCAAGGCAGCCGCAATGCTCGCAGAGCGCCTTACAGTTTTTCTCGTGCTTATGCTCCACGAGCGGATTATCATAGCGGGATGTTGTTGTTTGTACAGTAGACGCAGTCGTCGAGGCAGTGGTTGGTACACCAGCGGAAGTGGATATCTGAGTAGCCAGCAACACTCCAATCAACATAATGGAGATGGTGATATTGATGATATAGTGTTTAGCCCGTATCATTTTGTGTGCTCTGCCTTAGTGTCTTTCCAATTGGGTTTTGGCTGTGCATTCGCGACGCGCTGAGTGTTATATACGCTGACTGGGTGAAATCGTAGACGTTATTTTAGTTTTTCGTTGCTGCCGCTTCGTGACTGTCAGTCGAATTTTGATTTGTTTTGCTTTGGCGTTCGCCGGAATTTTCGCTGACACTGTATGATCTTGAGACATTTTTAATTGAGCACATATGCAATCGTTATTAACTGTTTCAGTTTTAGGGTCAGCTTAGACATACGTACTAAATATATAAATTTATATTCTTATATTTGGCCAAGGCCAAATTCTTGCACTTGAACTTCATACCAGACAAGAGATGTGTTGCTATTTCACAATATATTTTGAATTTATTACAAAAAACCAACTAAACAAATTTCACAATTCTCACAAAGAAATGTTTGCCTATAATGCTTTATCGGCGCTTGCCCTTGCCCTTCTTGCCACCGCCTCCACCACCAGCTCCAGCCCCACTTGACTGCGACTGCGGCTGAGGGTCATTTGTTTTGTTCTGCCGCGTTTTCAGCTGCGGTATTTTACCGGCTACATACTTCATGACAGACTCGCGGGTGGAGAAATCGTTGTTGCACAGTGTACCGTCCGCATTGCGTAGTTGCACGCGCACTCGGCCCCGGAACTGCAACTCTCTGCTCTTTTCGCGACAGTACTGTTTATTCTCCACCACAAATTGCAGGTTAGATACTGAGAGTACATCGCGGATTTCCACATACGTTGGATTCTCAACACAATTCTCTTTTGGCAGGCGACGACCTTCCTGGCGAGTCTTCTTGCTGTTTATGTATGCTGGGTAAATGCAAATCCATCTAAAAACGAGGTGGCAGGTGAAATTGATGAGGCTGTTCTTTTAATTTGCGTAAGTTACCTCTCCACTTCATTGTGTTTCATATTTGGATGCCAATTCATGCGCACAGGCTGTGATGTAGCCATTCTTAAAAATAGCTTTTAATAAACAAATTGATGGAAATAAAAGTTTATTTATTTTCCACGCAGGCACCTTACTGATTAGTTCATAAAACTATCGATATCGATATAATTCGAATTGCTGAGCTGTCATTTCTAAAGTGCTGCAAAACGATATTTTTAAAGCAAATGCTTGGGGTACTCCTATGCGAAATAGTCCAAAGAATTATTTTAAAATCAGCTGAAATGTAATACGATATTTCCTAAATTCATATTGAATGGATTGTTGCCCGTTTTTCTATTTAATCCAACCGATAGTAGTTTTCTAAAAAAAATCCTATCGATATCAGTCGTGTGCAAGCTTCCAAGCAGTATATATCGATTAGTCGATGATATATCAACAACTTCCTCATTCTGTTTATAGTTGGTTTAACTGCTGTGATGTGCACTGCGTCTGTCTGCTTTCGAGTTGAGCGGCCAAACAAACAATTCTAGTCACGCGTATTGAAAGCTTGGGCACTTCAATAACCCGCTTGCATAGCCAGCCTTTGCTGTGAACAACCAACAAATACAAAATAAACACAACCGCAAAAGCTCACACAACACGCTCCACAAAATGGACGAGCTGAATGGAATATTGCAAAAAACCAAAGATAAATCAACTCAAAGGGAACAGGACGAGGTACACAACCCACCCAATCCCAAAAACCAGTTAACCGTTAACCAGTAGCAGCGATGTCATTTGTGAACTTTGACATTTTTGAGCTGCCTGCCGCCTGTTTGCTGACCAAAATCCTAACCGTAACCTTCTGCGCTTACTTCATTAAATTTTTTTTTTTTTGTGGCTTATTTACATGCCGTTGACATCGCCCACGCACAACCAGATTCTACTGCAGCCCTTTACATATATACAGCAAATACCTGGCAAACAGTTTCGCTCCGAATTGGCCTTGGCCTTCAATCACTGGTTGCTTATACCGCCCGAAAAGTTGACGCAAATTGGCGAGATTGTACAAATGCTGCATAATTCCAGTTTGCTGTGAGTAAAAATAAAAAATATTTTTTACATTTAGATATAAATTAATAAATTTAATTTATGCATAGCTTTGTTAATATATTGCATTTATCTTACTAATCATTTGACCTTTTCCCGATTCCACTTTATTTCGCTTTGGCATTTTGCCTTTTTGACCTTTGTTTACATTAGCTGTACAACCATCACATTCGCACCATTACCTTCACCTCATGAACCATATCGCCCCATGCTTTATCTCATTTCACACTTACACATTTGCTATTTACATATGTTTATTTGTTGTTGCTTGCCTCTTTGTTGCACTGTTTACGATTTAAGTTCAAAATTTATTAGCGCTTAAAATTGAGAAAAATAAAAATAGAACCAAAAAAATAGTTTCCTGTGAAACTGAAAACTTCTTTCACTGGAAAAATAGGCAATTTTAATGAACAAGATCGAATGTTTTTTTGAATTATACTTAAATAGAGGTAATGAATTCCATTCCAGCTGGGAATATTTAAACTTAATGCAACTGCAGTTTTACTTTGTAAACTTTTTATAGTTATAGCTGACTTCATTCTTTGGCAGCTGTTAGGTTAACGAATTCTAGAAGTTGCGCAAATAAGAATTAAAACTCCTCCAACAATTTTTGTCTGTTCAGGTTATCCCACAGCTGGTAAAGTTATGAATTTCATTTCACATTCATATTTCATATCAGACTTTTTTTTTGTATATATTTAGCATTATCATCATTGTGTTGGCACTTAGCAATGGGTATTTGTATAGAACTTGGACAGATGACTCAGACATACGTACACACACACGGATCCACTGGTGCCCAAGCGCCACCCCCCGGCCTTGTTTGTGTGTGTACGTACGTGTGCGTAAATTTCGGTTATTTGCCTTCGAAATCAATCGAAAAATTTGAACAAAAGCCCGCAGCATTCTGTTTATGATAAAATTCAATTGAATTTGTTTGCAAAATGTGCCTTCTCATTTCCCAATATGGAATCGCATTAAATGTTTAGATTTTTCATTGTTGTATCAAGCTGAATGCAGACCCGAGAGTACATTCATATACATATACATATATGTATGTATGTATCTGCTGTAGGGTATTAAAGATACGCAACAGTTAATCTTTGAACTTCTTCAATTAAAGTGCCTGACAAAACGTCGCACGCTTCAATTGATGCATTGCCATGCTAGCTGTTTTTCTAGAGAAGTTTTCAACGAAAGCTGGCTCAGCAGCTTCTTGGATAAACGTATATATGTATGTCTACATATACCAATACATATGTACATATATATGTATGTTTTCGTATATATAGCTATAAGTCGCTTATCTGCTTCCATTGTTTGGTTGCGCTTTCCGACTTGTTTTTCGCTTCAATCATGCAAGCTAATCCCGTCTCGTTGCCACCTGTCGCACCATGCACCCACCAACCCACTGCTGCTGCCTATTATTCAAATGCAAATGTGCTGAAATGTCCTTAATGCCGCTTAATATCCTGCATTGTTCGCTGGCACCAGTTGTCGACAGTGCCTGACAGCTGAGAGCTGTTATCACAGCGTCTCGGTGCGCACTTACTAATAAATGGCTTTCTACCCACGCACACCCACACACAAGGCGTTTGGGCTCGTGTTTTTTGTGTGTTCAAATGCATTTTCATATCGACAAAAACTTGGTTTTACAACTATGCCAGCATTCGCACAGTGGCATGAACGAACAGCTTCAAAGGCGTCAGCGCCGTCATCGTCATCGCCATTGTCATTAAGTCAGCTTGTCGACAGCCATTGTCACAATATTGTAACTCTTGCAATGCAACAAGCTCACTCCGCTCCACTGCTCTGCCCACCCACCCGTTTGCCACCCATTCTCCATCCTTCTTTCAGTTGGGTTGACTGCCTTTGCGCGTCGCTTGAACGCCCACGCCTCCAATTCCCCACAAATGTTTGCAGCCCCCTCCTCAACACGCGCAAACATTTTTTAATTACGCAAAATGTGTCGGCTGCCCAGTTTGCCTTGCTAGCTGGCCTGGCGTGTTATTGAAGTGATATGGGCCTCAAAATGAGTTTTAAATTTATGTACATTTAGTTGATGTGTTCTCTAGCATATTGCGAGGGCTGCCCCATAGCCACAAATTATATTCGCCCTCACATTTGTGGGGTGAATAGTTAACAGCTCTAACTTTGATCCAAGTCTTGTTTGCACTTTGATAAACTTAATTACAAACATTATTTTTAAATGTATTACTTTAGTAAATTAACACACATAAATAACATCTGTAGAAATTAACTGAGTGCTTTACATATACATATATATGTGTTCTTGTGTTCTGACTGCTAACTTACAGCATTGATGATATTGAAGACAATTCGATACTTCGCAGAGGTGTGCCCGTTGCGCATTCTATTTATGGCGTGGCGAGCACCATCAATGCGGCCAATTATACTCTGTTCCTGGCGTTGGAAAAAGTGCAGCAACTGGGCCATCCAGAGGTACGCTTGTTCACCCTCATTCATCAGGCCTTATCAATAATCAATAAATTGTTGTTTGTTTATTGTGGGTGACAGGCAACCAAGGTGTACACGGAACAGCTATTGGAACTGCATCGCGGCCAAGGCATGGAGATTTACTGGCGCGATAGCTTTACATGTCCCTCCGAATCTGATTACAAACTGATGACTATACGTAAGACTGGGGGCCTGTTCATGCTGGCCATACGCCTGATGCAGCTGTTCAGTGAGAACAAGGAGGATTTCACAAAGTTAACAGCCATTTTGGGCCTATATTTTCAAATACGTGACGATTACTGCAATTTGAGTTTGAAAGAGGCAAGTGGACCGTAGTAAGTCATTGTAAGTCTATATACTATTCTCCTCTTGCCTTTGCAGTACACGGAAAACAAGAGCTTCGCGGAGGACTTGACTGAGGGCAAATTTGGGTTTCCAGTCATACATGCAGTGCGTACGCAAAAGCAAGACAAACAGGTTTTGCGTAAGTCTTTCGAACGCACCTCGTAACCCGTCACAATTGCTTATTCAACTGTTGTATTACTTCTCAGACATTTTGCGACAGCGCACGCACGACATTGAGGTCAAGAAGTACTGCATTAGCCTGTTAGAAAAGCTCGGCAGCTTTCAGTACACACGCAAGGTGCTCGAAAGTCTTGATGCGGAGGCGCGTGCCGAGGTTGTTATGAACTTATGCTTCTATTCCTTAGCAATCATGTGACTAATACATAATTCTCTTTATTGCTTGACAGTTGACTCGTCTGGGTGGTAATCCCTTCTTGGATCGACTGCTCAATAAGCTGTTGTCCTGGAAGAACAGCGAGAGCGCCAGTATCACGCAGTCGAACCAAATCAATCACAACAATGTCACACGCAGCCCCAACCAGAACACGCTCAACTGCAATTAACAGCCAAAGAGGCAGAAGAGGGAGCAGTTGTGAATTGCGAATGGCAGAGCCAAAGCCCGTGCCGCAGCCGCCTCCTCTTTTGCTGCTAATCCAAAAGCAACGCAACAGCCACAGCCACAGCCACAGACGCAGCAGCAGCAGCTACCACGACACCAAGCAGCCTGCTTCAGTGCGCCTTTGTTGCGTTTTCTTCGTAAACTAAAAATCTTTTAAGGATTTAATATGTACATGTTCACTCACTTTGCCTCCCAAAGCTGCTCAATGGCGAATGTTTGATTTTATTTGATCACACAACCTAGAAATTCTTGATTGATTACAAAAAATGTTAAGCCAAAAGTTAATTGATAAGCCAAGCTTACGAAGAGCTAGCGAAAAGCCATAGCACAGCTTCCCATGAATTTGTTTATTTTACTAAGCCCTATATGTTAATTTCAATTTAATACTAAGTATTTAGTTGGTACTAGAGTGTAATTATATAAGGTTCCTTCATTTTGACTGTTGTATTTCTAAATGTATTTTGTATGGGTGTACTTCATAATGCAAGCAATTTTTTCAAACGATTTCTAAATGTCTCATTATTTAATTTGTGTCGAAGATATGATCGAATCTTTTTGTGCACTTCCCTTATTGACGTTGTTCCATTTTACATTAGTTAAATGAAATGTTCAAATAATATACAATTACAACAGAATACAAGTTCTAACAAATTGTTAACGTTTGAAAAAAAAAAAAAAAAAAACGAGAAACATATTTAAATAAGAAAAGTGTTAAAACATACACTGCACAGCAGACAATTTTTTGCACATATATATATATATATATATACATAAACATATATAATATATATTTTTATTGTATACATGCACGAGAAAAAACTACTAAAAATGCTGAAGAGATTTATTGTAAAAGAATGGAGATGCAACAAAGAGCCGAGAATTTATTGTGCACGCCAAAATGCACCTCGTTATAACTATGTGCGAATATTACATACATATATTGTCATACACGAAAGTATCTGAAATATTTAAATAAAAATATTGTATTTATGCCAACCGATTGTATATATGACGTGATATATTCCGGTAGAAACAAAGCAGTGTATTAATCAAGTATGTAAATCCAGTTTATATATTTATTAATACTCTATACATTTGTTCCATATATTTACTTTACTGCTGACCTATGTATCCTGCTCAATCATGTCCATTAGCTGAAGAAACTGCTGCGATGTTGCATCCACTTCAGCTACAGGCTCCACATATTCTTCGTATTCAACATTGGCGTCATCCTAAAACAGTTGATAAATATATATTAAATATATTTGAAATTACGTAATTTTCTCACCTCGAAGCCAAAGCAATTATCGGCATTGATCTTGGGTTCACGCTTGACCACTACCTCACTATCATCGTTAACCAGCTGAACGACCATAAACTGCTCGTCTTCACCTTCAAGTTCTACTGTAAATTCGTTTGCATCCGGCTCTTTCTTGATACGGAACGTGCCGGCTTGCGTAGTTCGTTCGCGGTGCGCACGCGGAGCCTTTAATTGCCGATTGATAATGATCGGCTTATTGGATGAGCTCTGTGCTCGATCTCTTACAGCGACAGTTTTATTGTCCCTTCTTGTCCTTATAGTGGGTGCAGTTAACGTTTCCTCGATGGGTTCGCTTGGCACTGACTCTTCCTCATCAATCTCCTCGAATTCAGTGATCTCGAACTGTTCTTCGATGTCAATGGAAATGGTGTCGCTTTTATCAAATTCCTGAACGTCGTCACCATCTAAAGTCACAATGCTTCCATCAGGCTGAAGGCGAACGTTACGCCCAAGTCTTAATTTCAACTTCTGCTCCTGCGCATTCAAGGAATCATCGTGTGATTCCATATGACGCATCAGGTTACCCTTATGCGTAAAGACACGCATACAACTGGGACAAGAGTGAACCTTTACACGTGGCTCCGGTGGCTTGTAGTCCTCATTGTGCATCAGGTTGATATGGCGACGTAGCAGTTGGCGCTGACGGAACGCCTGGGAGCAAAAGTCGCATTTAAACGGCTTCGAATCGGTGTGTATAAGCATGTGGGAGTCCAAATGTCGTTGAGACACTGAAGCATAACTACAAAGGGTGCAGCGATAGCATTTCTCGCCCTCATGTGACTTGATGTGCAGCTTGTACTGATAGCGATCAGGCAGCTCCTGGCCGCAGCGCTTGCATGTATGTCGCTTATCCGAGGTGTGCATATTGGCCATATGGGTGCGTAGGTCAGCCTTGCGGCCGCATGTGGTGGGACACAAAGTGCACTGAAATACTGGTTTATCCACCACGCTATGAATAAGTTTGTGTGCCTTGAGCGAGTTTGATTGAGTAAAGCGGGACTTGCAGATATCGCATTGGTACTTCTTCTCGCCAGTATGAATGACCAGATGCCGCTTTAGCTTAAACATATCCTGTGAGGCATATGTACAATGCGGACACTGGTACGGACGCTCACCCGTATGGCAAGTCATGTGACGACGTAGCTTTGTCAGCTCAACGCTGGCATAGCTGCACTCCGTGCATTTGTGTGGCTTTTCCTTGGTGTGCTTGTAGCGGGTATGCCTTATAAGCTCTCCGTTCGTAGTGAAAGCACTCTCGCACAGCTTGCACTTGTGAGGCTTGTTGCCCATGTGTGTGTTTAAGTGATTGACCAGCCCCATGTTAGACTTGAAGCCGCGCTCACATATAGAACACTTGAATGACATTTCCGAGTTATGTGTTCGAACGTGTCGTGAGATTAGAAACTTCTTATTGGTCGTATAGCTACAGTGAGAGCAGGCAAACTTCTGCGATGCAGAAGTGGCTGACGCCGGCTTTAGTTTGAACTGATTTCCGCTGGGCACGAAATCCACATCCGACTTGGCGGTTATATTAGCAGCATTCTCGTCAAACTCGTAGACCTCCTTGTCCGAATCGTCTTTGGTCGTGTTCAGATCTTCGGTTAGGCTAGTATCATTTGCAGTGGCAGTTAGCTCTGATTGGTCTATGGTAACATCACCGCCACTCGGATCATCTACAAGTTCTTCGAACTCCATTACCTTTTCTATTACTATTTTAGTTTTCGGCGGCGACTCTGGTACGGACTTTGCAGATCTAGTTGAAGAACGTAAGTATCCTCTAGGTGTGTTAACTGGTGTAGAAGTTGTCATCTTAACTGGAGTTCTTTTTGGTGGTGCGGGTCGTATATTTATTGCCTTCGGACTCCCCTGAGCAGATGCAACAGGCTTCGGTTTCGCAGGACGCAGACTAATTTCTGCAAAATTAAGGTGAGCTATGAACATACGCTTGCGTTGTAGTTTAATCTATACAAACCTTTAGACGTTTTGCTGCTGGCGGCACGCGTTGTGCTACGGATTGGGATTGAAACATCTTCTTTGTCTGATGCTTTCGATGTTGCTTGTTGTTTCAATTTCTTTTTGAGTTGTTCTTGTTTCCTTGGTGTGGTTTTGATATAACAGTTGCCTTCGTCGTCTATAAAATATTTATCGTCGTCATCATCGTCCTGGTTCTCTTCCTGTTGTTCCACCTCAGTATCATCATCTGCTTTGACTTCTTTGTCATCAACACTGCCATCTTCAATTTCTTTGTGAAAATTCCTTAGATATGTTTGCAAATCCCCTGAATCGGAGTTGCGCGTGCCTTTTGACATTCTGACTGCAAGCAATAACCATTTTATAAGTTAGCGCCAAAAACAAGTAGCTAATAGCGACCTACAGCGGACATAACGCTATCAGCGACCCCAAGCGGCTATTGATTTCTCGCACACCCAAACATGGCTTGATAAGCTACGCTATAAGAATCTATGGCTTTATGGCATTACTTACCTGTACTAATAATGCTTCCAAATAAAGCAATCCAACGTACAGATTAAATCTGCTAATTAATATGGTTTTAATAGTAAACTTAACTTTTAGTGCAAAGAATTTCCGTCAGAGGCGAAACGACAGCAGCTGCGCAAAAGATGGCGGAATGGCTTTGGCGTTGCCACCGGTTGACAATTTTTCCTAACAGTGCCTTTTTGAGTATTTAATAGTTTCAGCGATTCAATCGTAGTTGGATTGGCGCGTTAACAAAAATTGAAATAAAAACAGCATCTAATTATTATTACTTTTATTTTATTTGCTAATTTTCAACTGTCAGGTTTTTGAGTTTTCGGACCAAGTTTTAATATATTCCACAATCAAAAAATCAGGATAAATATATAATATAACCCAAAACAAATTTTATTTGGCTTTATTATAAATTACAATTTGTGAATTTTTGTACAAACTGGTTATGCCCAATATTGTAATTAATCTTAAGATTCTAATGTTCAAATTCAATGTAAAACTTAATTTGCATAGATCTTACCCACGTACATGTAAAAGTATCCCACAAAATTGATGTATCTTTATATTTATTCCTAATCTTCATTCCCATACTAAAAAATCAACAAAAATCGATTACTATTGAACGCTATAATAATTACAAATAATTTTTTTGTTTATATGTATAATTTAATCATAAGATGTTGCCCGAATACTCACTTACTAAGCCAGTAGTTGGGTTAGCCCGCATCAATCATATTTCTGTGTAATTTAGGTATAACTACTTTAGTATGAGAAAGAGATTAAGTTAAATATGCGCTTGGGTGGTTTCGTAACTACATATATATATGTATAAACCGCTACGGGAGATTGCATTACAGAGTTTGATTTGTTGATTTTGGGAAAAATACGTACGTTAAGAAGTCCTCATCGAACCCTACGGAATCAACACAATCCTTTAAGCTTGGGCATACGTACCAATATTTGTTGCTAATTCATGTTCTAACGATTTCATAACAAAACGCTTGTATACATACCAAACAAACAACCACTCCCAATGAATAGATAGACGACGAATACGTACCCAAAGCAACGAACCGAACCATATGTATGTACATATATCTTGTATATGTCTATCAAATACTCAAATCTGCAATTAGCGAGATCCGTAGCTTTTCAAAAAAGGCTAGGACAGACGTTTGTGTTTTGTCAATATGCACTCGATACGTACCCAGCTTTACGGCTTTTGAGCTGCAAGGTTACTTTAAGTAGAAAAACGCTAAAAGGTTACAGTTTATAGTTTGTTGATAGAGTGAGGCTTACCCTAAAAGGGGCGACAATACTCGTAGGCGGTACACACATACACACCACTCGGGGGCGGGCACACCCACAGTCCGGGACTGTGCTTATAGAAATTATGATAGAGCTCTGTTTTGGATTTTATGTTGAATGTTTTTTTTTTTTTTTTTTTTTTTTTTTTTTTTTGTGTCTTGTGTTGGGTGTGTGGGGAATTCGTTGCTGGGCACATAGATTATATATATATATAGAATTGTACATTTTAGTGTGGTTACTCGGGACTTTGGTTCTACGTACCGTACATTTACTCAAACTCAACTCTGGTCGGGCTGTCAAACTATTTAATTATAGTTGTTTACTTAACAATTTATATAGTTGCAGCTCACACTTTTTGTTTCGCTTTTCTGTTAGTTAACACTGATGAGAGTCAAAGATAAGGATTAATAATATTTTACAAAAATATCTGACTTGCAATCTAAGTGTATATTTAAGTCATTTATTAATTAAATAATAATGCAATTAGTTAGTTTCTCCTGCTCTAGTTTTTTTTTTTTTTTTTTTTTTCTGTTTTTGTTGTTTACTTTTATGGTGGTTATTAATGCTACGTACGTGCGCTGGACACTGCCGTGTGGAACTGGCTTCCACTGGATCATCATGTTAACTTTGACATGTCGACATTTCTAGCGGCGATAGCGCTCGCGGGAGAAGGATCGGCGCCTATTGCCGAAATTGTTGTTGTTGTTGTTGTAGTTTCGGCGATCTCGTGGTGAACGTTCTCTCGAGCGTGATCGACGCCTTTCATTGCGACGGTCTCCACCACCTCCACCCCCTCCTCCTCCTCCTCCACCATTTCCTCCATAGCGTCCTCGATCATTTCGCGTGTTACGGTCTCGGTCCCTTCGATCACGCTGATCTCTATCGCGATGATCGCGAGCATTGTTGTCAGGGCCACCACTTGCCCCTCCGCGACCAGATCCACGGTTGTCACCATCACGTCCTCGCTGCGCTGACCGCTCACTCTCAGCTTCTCGGGCACTGGCTCTCTCGTCGTTTCTATCGTTCGATCTATCATTGCCTTGTTTCTCTGCATCACGCTGTCGCTGACGCTCTCTTGAACGAGAGCGATGAACGCGCGAGCGACGGTCCAGCTCGCGCCCACCTACAAAGTACCGATTTCTGCCTCGGCCGTCCTCTTCTCGATCTGGTATCTTACCCGAGCGCTTCAGTTCTGCCTTTCGTGGTGCCGCCGTCTTCTCCAGCTCGATAAGTTTCTCGCGTATTGTAAGAAAGCCTAGATGCAACTTACCACCAAAGTGGTCCGCCAGACGGATATCATTGTCGTGTATGCCCAGGTAAGCGGAGCACACCTCACATACGCGGAGCTTCTGTTGTTGGTATGTGGACGCTGGCATTGAAGTTCTATATTCATGCTCTGCCTTGATCTTTTTGGCGCGCAGCTCGTCAATTTCCTTCATTAGTTCCATGCTGTCTTCTACTTCGCCAGCTTCTCCCAGTGCCTCGGCCTTGGCCAGTTTTTTTCCAATTTCTTCCGCCAGGCTATGAACCGCGTTGGCTTTCTCGGCCACCTCTGCTGTCAGCTCCTCCTGAGTTTCCTTTAACCGTTGTTTGGCTGAGTCTGTGCGTCGATCGCAGTCCGCTATGAACGCTTGCAAATGCTCCATGGCCTCGATGTCATAGTAGTAGTCACGGGTCTTTGACGCACTTTCGTAATCTGCACGAAAAGCCAGATCATGCACTTTGGGACACTCACCGAGATCCATGCGGGTGGATGCCAGAATGTCGTGGGGGCAGCAATCCAACAGAAATGACTTGCAGACGCGTGCATCTGAGAATTTAAGGCCGCGTCCATCGTCTCCGTTTCGCGTGGTGCCCATCAGTTGGTCCAGCATTGCACGCATCTGGTCTGTTGCCGACATTTTATTGCTCGGCGCGCTCATTGTGCAGGCCGGTTTTTATAGTTTCAATTGCCTTTTTTCAACTTTACTTTTACTAGTGAAAAATAATAAGCAGAGTTGTTCGGAGTTCAGAAAAGTTCGATTGAACGGTTCACAATACTGAACGGAAAAATAAGTCACTTCTGAACTTAGTTCACAATTTTCTGCCACCTTGTCACTGCTTACGCCATGTTAACAATAACATTCCGCCAACTGTTATTTTCTACAGTTTTGAAAATATCAGCCAAAATTTTTGTGAAATGTTAGATGCTAATCAATTATTTATATATTTTTCATTAAAACGTATTTTTGAGTAATTCGTAAGTTATTTTGATGTTGTGTTAAGAAAATATGAAATGAAATTAACATAACAGAATGAATGTAGTCCATGACTGCATCCCAACAGCCATCGTTATTTGTATATCATCCCTGTAAAACATACATTTTCTATTTCGATATATCGATGCGATAAACGTTTGCAGTGGCTTTTTGTTGTTTATTTCGTTGGCGTAATTTTTGTTTTAAAAATTAATTATTTTGGATTAAAAGATAATGTCAGATGACGATGATATCCAGTACATAAAGCGACAGCGTACTCTGCATTATGGCTCGCTGGAAGAAACAGAACGCAAGCGGCAAGCTGGCGCGGCGTCTTCTGTTACCGGCACAACGCCGGCTGCAACAACAACTGCCGCCCAGCTGGAAGACATTGATTCTGACGAGGACTATGAGGAGACTAGCAAAAAGTCCAATGCCACAAAAGTCGGCATGCCACCGCCCACTGCAGCGTCGTTGGCCAACAAAATTGACGATGATTACTTCGATTTGGAGACCGAGATGGAGCGCGACAAGGTGGCATTGCTAGAGGAGTTCGAGCGAAAAAAGCGAGCACGACAAATAAATGTGTCCACAGACGATGCCGAGATCAAGAACAATTTACGACAATTAAACGAGCCAATTTGCTATTTCGGTGAGGGTCCAGCGGAACGACGTCGACGACTTAAGGAACTGCTCGCCAGTTTGGGTGAAAACGCTATCAAGCAGAAGCAGACCGAGGAGGAGGAGCGTAAGCTGCAACAACGAGAGCAGGAAGCCACATGGTATCACGAGGGACCGGAAACACTGCGTGTGGCACGCCTTTGGCTCGCGGACTATTCCCTGCCACGTGCTCGCGATCGTCTAGAGCGCGCTAGGCAGGCATTAGAAGTGCCCAGCGCAACGCGAGCCGGTCGAATGGTGGAAATGCAAAAGAAGCTACAGTCATTGGCACCGCTCTGCTCACAGGTGGGAGACACGCGGCCCGTAAGTAGTGCAGCCTTCAGTGAGGACTCTTCGCTACTGATGACTGCCTCGTGGTCGGGTCTTTGTAAGCTCTGGAGTGTACCCAACTGCGAGCTGAAGCAAACGATGCGGGGCCACGCCAGCTATGTGGGTGGCGTAGCGCTCAGGCCTGGAGTAAAGCTGGATGAAGAAAATGTTGTGGCCATGGCTTCGGGCGGCCACGATGGCGCAGTCAAATTGTGGGGTTTTGGCAATGAGGAATCCATTGCCGACATAACGGGCCATATGCCACATCGCGTGTCCAAGGTAGCATTCCACCCGTCAGGACGCTTTCTTGCGACAGCCTGCTACGATTCGTCTTGGCGTTTGTGGGATCTGGAACAAAAGACGGAGGTCCTACATCAGGAGGGACACGCAAAGCCGGTGCATTGCCTCAGCTACCAGTCCGATGGTAGTGTTCTGGTGACCGGCGGCTTGGATGCCTTCGGCCGTGTCTGGGATCTGCGTACGGGCCGTTGTATCATGTTCCTTGAGGGTCACTTGGGGGCTATATTCGGCGTAGACTTTTCGCCCAATGGCTTTCATATAGCCACCGGTTCGCAGGACAACACCTGTAAAATCTGG